ATAGTACAGTGCTTAACTTTCGAAATTAGGCAATAATTAACCACTGAAATGCTTTATTGCTATCATGCCTGTCACGCTATGCGCTATTAAAATATCATATCCGATACAATCTCATGGATTAAATAGTCCTAATTAAATTAAAATAAAATATTTTGTACAAATCATTAAAACAAATTTTGCAAATTTACATAGTTAAATAAAGCAGATTTTAATATAAACATAGCTTCTGTTGTGTCAGTGAATAGAGTGGCCTCACTAGGGGTCCATCTTGACGGTTCAATAATTTTTACGCGTACTTTCGAAATCATGTCATCCAAACATGATCCGGCAACTGTGAACTTTTACGTCAACATGTTAGGATTAATAAATAATAAATACCAGACGTGAATCATGACTCCCATTTTATTCCTTACATTTGGAAACCTTTTCATATGCTTTTATTAGTGGGGGAAATGGTGAAATCAAAGCTGTATCGTTTTTTTTCTAATGTCTACTAAAAGGTAATTTATGCTGAACCAAAATAAATGCAACTTTTTTTAAAGATCTGAGACGATACAAGAATGAGGGATTAAATACAAAATCCTTGCTGACAACGATTCACCGACGATTGAAGTATATGCCTTTCTACAGCAGCCGTGTCAAATATAATCATGAAATCAATAATGATCTCTGCATGATTTTACTGTTGTCTGCATTCTAATCGCAAATCCCCACTCTCTACTTATCAGTATTTGTGCAATAAAACTGACTTCACTCAGGTTGAATGGATAATTTTAATTCATTTAAACAAAAAAACAAAATTTTCGATTTAAGTGGTTTTTGGATGCCTCAGTGAAACCGAAATAAGTAATTAAAACTATGGTTATTTGGGTATACTACGTAGAATACATCATGAAAGAGACGTGTTCATGGTGAATTCACAGCATATACACATATTTTATGTATTAGCGGCCCCATTTACCATTATTTATTAAACCCAAGTTATATGGTTTATAAATAGGATTTTTAACAGAATTACTTTAAATGATAAGTTATTCGAAATAGATTTTTAAAAACCCTCCTAATGGCTTAATAGACTTATAAAGATGTCATTCTAAACTGAAAACCATAATCTCCATTATTATTGAAATCTAAGAGGGCTTTGTAGCGTCAAGTACCAATGATAATGACATTTTGAACGATTGTTAAGATAAAAATAAAAGTTAACCATTAAACAGGAAAATTAGAAGTCGTTTATGTTATCCTATGAAGAAGAACAATTCATTAAAAGTTCCAATCAATTTTGATCCAAAATGGACTATACTAGAAGTGCTTGAGGATTTAAAACCACTGGAGACAAATGTTACATTACGAAACATGGCTGAAATCTTGCACTTAATTTGTCAAATTGAAGCAACCGTATTTTAAATTTTTCATATTCGCCATAAATAGCGTTGTTCATCAGACATGACCCCAGTACATTAAATTTGCAACTAAACGTCTCCAAAATATGAATATATATGGCAGAAAGAAACCACAAGAAATTCTGATCCCGTAGTTATCAATATATGGAAATTTACATAATTGCCTTATTCAGGAATTCCTTCAGTAGTATGAGCTTTAATATTGCACAATTTATTTAAATTTCTTATTATTTTATTTAAAAATCAGCTTAGTTTAATATTAAGTAATGATGACATTCAACTTAAGAAAACACTATATTATTTTCACAATCAAGCAATTTCTGGCACTTATACACCCTACCTCAAATGCAACTCGAATTTGAACAGCGATTTCAATTTTACTCCTGAAATATAATTATTTATCCCAGTTACATTAAAAATCTAAATAGTTTCACTCTCTTAGTAATTTAATTTGAAATATAATGGCAACTCAGGTTGCTTCTTCTAATATGCATTTAAATAACCAACAGGCTCAAATTCACTGGGGTATCGGTTGTTATGTCTGTGGTTCGTTGCACCAGTTTATAATCTCAAAATTTTTAAAGGCTAATTTGAATGGTTGAAAATGACAGATTAATCTTACTGTGTTTCAAAAATTTTGTTTATAGGTGGCAGAAAGACGCAAGAAAGTTGTTCTACGCAAACTACCGCAGTTTTTGACTGAGAATGAGTTCAGAGAAATGATATCTCCTATTCCTCCTCATGACTATTTTCGATTTTGTGCTTATGATGCTTTCTTCGATGGTTGCGAATTATGCAGGGCCTATATAAATTTTAGGGATTCGGAATCCGCGAAACATTTCATAGAGCGCTTCAATGATTATGTTTTTGTTGACTCTCAGGTTTGAATTAGCCTTGTTCTTTTAAAGCTCGTTTTTGTCTGTAGGGAAATGAATCAAATGCTGAAGTGAGCTTTGCAATTAACCAGGACACTCCAAAAGTTGTCAAGGCTCGCAGAGATCCCAGTGCATGCACCATTGAAGGCGATAAGCTTTATAAAAAGTTCTTGGAATGTCAGAAAGAAAGACCCAAAACAAGTGATGATTGTGATGCTGAAAAACCTCCATGGGAAGTTATTTTAGAAGAAATCGAAAAACTTGAAGCAAATCCTATTCCCGTAGGCATAATCTTCCAACTGTCAATTTTTGTTTACAATAATCTATTTTTGCAATATTGTTATTTCATTTGACATGCCCTTTATAATTTGTTTTGCACTTGATTCGTCACTATTCGATATTGAATTTCAACTAGTTGACGTCAGACAAAATTAGATGCATTCGAGGTTTATTCGAAATCTCTGTCTTCAGTACCGTTGTGTTTCTTGCATTGATGTAACCTCCAGTCTTCTACTTTATATGTCCCTTTTATGATACTTAATTCAAATGATTTTAGCAAAACCAATTGTTAAATTTTCTTAAAGCAATTTTTCTCCGCAATCTTTTATCTTTATTTGCTGAGGTAGTGTTTTGATTTACTTTATCTGCAGTTTCTGTACTCTTACTTTTCTGCAAAATAATTCGAATAAAACCTCGAGAGCTACATTTGCTGTTATGAAGTAGGCAATTCTCTAACGGTTGTTTTTGATATCTTTTTTATTACGTAGAAACTGAATTAAAACTTCATGCTCATTTCATATTCATTTTTATGTAGTTTTCAAGTTTGACCACTAGATCCATCGTGATTAATTGGCAGATTTTCCTTCATAGTTGACCCTTCTTTTTCCCTTGGTGTAGCTCTTCTTCAATGCTCATTGGTATGATCCCATTTGTTGTTTATAAGGGTGGCCGCCCGATGCAAATTACTCTTTAAATGGCGATTTATTGTGGACTCCATTATATCCGCAGTCGGAATGTCTGTTGAATATGTCTTTTTAATTGAATTACTCATGCAAAGGGGAATTTCTTTACGTGTCGTAGATTTAAAGCTAGACAAAATGGGGGGGGGGGTATGGCTGAAAACACGTTGGGTAGCCTGTTTTGTGACATTTAATTGTTAACTTTACACTAATGTAGTGAAGATGAAGCCTCCCTGCTATGCGCTATGAACAAAAAACTTGAGTGTTTTGAGCCCTTTGTCACTTCCACTGATCTTTTTTGTCTCATTATTACGTCTAAGTAGATTTTCGCTCCAGAGAATTGGTTACATTAAGCCTGTCAAAAGTTTTCCTTTCTACCTTTGAAAGTGAAATTTGCTTAGAAGGTTTGTATGAATTTTTGTAGTTATTGTCTATGTGATAGTCTACCTACTCAATAGTATTTACATAGCAAATAGTGTGACTATCCGTATTAGTTATTTCTGATGAATCTGATTTTTAGATATTCCTAGCACTAGAGGCTTTACAGATATCTAAATTGGTCTCTCATCTTTTAATACTATTAAAAGGAATCCGAAACAAATCTGCTACGCGCCTTGACAAGTAAACTGGAACGTCGCAAAGCTAAAGCAGCAGGTAGACGCTCTGTCAAGGGTAATAAAACCACCAAGAAGGCTCGGCAAAGACACCCCCATAGAGTCTCCCCCTCACCAAAGAAGGAGGAATCTGATTCGACAGCACAACCGAAAGAACCAATTGCACAGTCATCAAGGCCTCCTAAAGGTAAGTCTGTCGCCGTTTCTAATTATCGCTTACTTGTGTATCGATAGCGCATTGATGCGCACATCCAGGGCTACGGGTGTCCAAATGCCTGATTGATTCTAGTCAATTTGCGAGGTAGTGGAGTGCAAGTTTCTCTCAAGAAATTTTCTGGTTACCTTAATTCTACCCACGTTGTTTTCTTAGTACTTCTAAGATTGTGGGGAGTTTGTTTTTTACATTAACTCATCTCCCATTGTAGAAGTCAAGGAAAAGGCTTCTTCAAATCGCAGACCTCCAAGACCTAATCGTCAGCCTAATCCCCCTCCCAAACATCAATCGGAGACCCCTCATTCTGAGGAACATCGGCGTGAAATGTCTGAGAGTGAAACTGTGAAACAACCACCGTCTACTCATTCACGTGATCAGCCAAGAAATAATAAAAGACGAGGTGGTAGTCGTGGGAAACATCCACTGTCATATTCTGCTTTGTAAGTTACCTTCGTGATTGCTTTACATGATCTGAAAACCATGCATGTGAATTACAATGCGAAGTTAGTTATCTCAGTACACATGCATTGATAGGTTTGGCTATTAAATAAGGTTAGGTGGTAGAATTCGAACTTAATATCCGATTCTGTAAGACTACTTCTCTCATGTCAAGACTCACAAGTGAAGGGTTTGAAATTAAGTGCGTGGTTATGTTTTATTCGAGTCCATGTCGAGATGGCGAATCTAAACTGCTCAAAACATTGTAATATTACAACCGTCGACCTTCAATACTTTCGGCAACAAAATTCACAGCTCCTTTACGATTACACAACCGGTACGTCTTCGTTGCTATTAAACGTTACTGCTTGTCGATTGGCCAGCGATTACGGGTTCGATACTTTAAGCCCTTCGAAAGAGTTTTTATCAGCAAAACTGTAATTTTGTTCCTCGTATGTCCTGAACAAATCGATGGTAGCAACAATTGGAGTGTCTTCAGATCATGACTCAATATGATAATTACTATGGCCAAGTCTGTAAACAATCATCTTCGGTCTAGCGTTTTCTTTATAATAGTGATTGGATGACACCAAAGTAACGGTTGAATGTTCAATATTTATATTTTATTTCGGATTGGCTATTCTCCAAGTCGTCCATCGTCTTTATCGATATTTGGACGCATGCCCTTCGAGTCAGGTTGCCTGTTGTTCCAGACGTAAATTTTTATCATTCTGGCAGTGTCTCAATCACCAATTGTCAGCTATTGCCTGCATTACTTTGTAGTTTTCTTTGTCTATAATGTGCCTTGGAGTAATTATATTACCGTCTTGCCCTTCTCTTAGTCCGAGACAAATGCAGCTTTGAACCGCTAAGTGGATTAAATGATCACAGGCTTTGAATAGGCCTCTGGCTTTGCACAAAATAATAATACTAATATTTTATTCTTTTCTATTGCAGACATGCTAAATCTGCCTCTTCGACACCAGCAGCACCAGGGGTTGTTTGTGATCCGAGGTCAGATGGACCCCTATCTTGCAGTAGTTCCAAAGGGGAGGATGATTTAGACTTACCCAGAAGACTCCGAGGTGGTGGCGGCAGTAGTGAACATGGTGGTAGTCGAGGGGGATCTCGACGTGGCGGCGGTGGTGGTGGTTATAGTGGCCCAACCAGGGGAAGAGCCCCATTTTCCCGTGGTAGGGGTCGCGGTGGTGCCAGTCGTGGTAGTGCTGGCTCTGGTCCCCCTTGTTATTGATCGTCCACTAATTGCTAACAAGGAAGTGGAGGGGGGGGGGCTTGGGACAAATCTTGTATACTTTGCTTGCCTTTGTATTTTTACCTCTAAATCGAAGCACATTAATTGAGTAACTATTGCCTTTTTTGGAATTTTTAATAATCATGGGCTATCCTTAGGATATCTACCCAGTCGGTAGAATTAGAATATTTTTTTGTTGAATTGTTCTTTCTTCTCATTTGCTGCCGATCAAGCAAAGAGATGTGCAAATCTCGCCCACTTTACTGAGCTTTATATTTCGCTGGTTATAATTGAAAGAAGGGTGCGTTTTGGTTTCCCATTCTGGAGGTAGAATTTGATTTACGCCTGCTACTGTTGCTTGAGAATCCTGTTGTCTTCAAATTCTAATTACAAGTTTATTGGTTGAAGGGTTTCTGGTGTGGGAATCTTTTCAAAAGTTATTGCTATGAGAATATTCCTCGACATCCTATGTGATCATCGTCAAACTTATCATTACGCATCTGGTGTGATGGGATTCCCTCGTTGGGGTTGAAGAGATTAGGCGTCAACATGGAAACTATTTTGCGAAAGGCTGCCAATTAGAGGGGGTAAAATCCAGTGAACGCAATATGATACAGTGGAAGAATTGTAAGGGACCCAGGGATGTCTCATCTTCAAAATTGGTGAGAGGCGTGGCAGCAAGCAGTCTAGCTCATCCGTGGTGTTGAAATACTAAGGTAGTGAAATAAGTGATAGGAAAAAGCAGATAGAAGGCTCAAGCGAAGGTATTTATTTAAGATTGCAGGCGTTTTGGTAGTTAACATTAATCCTTTAGCTGACTTCGGGTTTCACAGGGGGAAGGAAATTTAAAGTAACAGAAAGTCGAGGGGTGGGGAACAGAAGAGTGATTTAAAGTTGAAGAAGAGACAGACACAAAGGCAGAGACAAGGTAGGATGAGTACTGTGGAAGTGGTAGAATATGGCGTACAGTGGGGTGATGGTAGTTTGAAGTCAGAAGTCAACTGCCGATTAATAGACTTTTTTTGCCGTATGAGTATACGTTGCCCAGGGTGCACCACGTGAAGGTAAGTCTATCGCACACCCCCCATGCCATAATGTTCGAGCGTGCATGTGATGCCTTGGTTCAGCCAGGTTGGCGTTGGGTTCCTGACACCCTTTTTACTACTAACATTAAATGATAAAATTTATAAAATTAATAAA